CATTTTGCTGTTGGAAGCTTAGTTCAAAATTAAAAGTAAGATGTCTAAAAATGAAGGTAATCAGTGAAGCTGGAAACAGCTGAAAGAAAAATTCCAAAAGGGCTCTTAAACTTGCCTGTACTGTCATCAGCATCTCCTTCTCTCCATCTCATTCCTGCAGCATTGTATTGCTCACTCGGTTGCTGGAGCACTGATTTAAATGGATATCGAGGGGGGGGAAGAGAAAAAGAGGTGAGCTTTAGCTCTGCTGCATGTTAGCACAGAAGGCAACATTTCTTCACGTTTGTTGTTTTTCTAGCTGGAAAAGTTGCCTATAACTTTGTTGCCTCTAAGTTGCCTATAACTTTAAATGGAAAAGCAATTGTGGTACAGCTGAAACTTCTCATTCACTGCTCCCCAAGTGTAGCACTACAGAATGTCACAGTGGCATGATTCAATCTCTATTTTGAATGACTTTAACATAAGTAATGTGGAGAATCTCTACAAAAGTCAAAGTGGGAACACTGTGCACCAGTCACAGCTTTGTTTTGATGCACAGAAATAACAGCTTGCTCTCAGAACTCTGCTGCTGCTGTTACTGCCCTCAGAGCTTGAAAAAGGATGTTTCTCCTCAGCTGACATCTGCTGCTTTTTGATAAATCACATCAGCTCCTTCAGCACAGAAACCACTGGGGGGAAAATAAGAATAAAAAATGGAGAACAAAATGGCTTGGAGCACCCTGAGATGTTAGCTGGGTGTTTGCTAGCCCTCTCGCCCAGTAGTCTGAATTCCAGTCCAGAGACTGAATTTTAGGAGCCAATTCAAATATTTGCACCTCTTAACGCTCCTTTTTAATAGATAAATAAATAAGCCTTTGTTATGGTGCTATGGAAAATCTGACAGCGTTTCACAGGGATCCAGCTGAACAAGCAGTCCTAAGGGCTGAGATCACTACAGGGACTGTAAGGAGGCCTGGCTGTGCCAGCGCAAAGGGATGCTGCAGCCTGTGCTCCCCAGCTGAGCTTCTGAGGCATTTGGGTTGTTACATCCCTGGTAGGGTATAGTCACCCTGACAATAAATCTAGCTATATGCTGTGATAAATGCAGGTGTGCAGATCCCCTTTCCTTGATGCCTAAGTAAAATCTGTTTTTAGTGAACAATATTCTCATAAAGACAATGCAGACTCATTTGTCCTGCCACTGGAATAACTGCTTACCTGCTGCACCTTCGACACGACAGAGGAATTGTACTGGAGGAGGAAGATGAGCCTGAAAGGAGATGGATGTCAGCAAAAACTTGATCTGCTTGAAACCCAGAGCACTCAAATTCAGCACATCCTGTGTTTGCCTATCTTCCCCTTTTTGATACTGATCTTCAGATCTGCATTCCTCATTGATTTCATATTATTGAAAATAACAGCTTTGGCATGGCAAAGCTACCAGTGATGTGCTAGGACTCTTTAAAATGAATGGCTGTTTTCTTAGATACTCTGAAAAGACCATAAAGTAAACCAGACTTTCTCCGTATATTAAGCTCAGCTGCTGCCTCCCTTTTTCTGATCTAATCTGCAATAGATGGTTGTCATATCCTGAATGCTTCTCCACCTGGATCTGTCTGTGGTTTCTGTAATAAGTCAGACATTCCTACTGAGAAACACAATACGCACATAAATCTGGCGTGCTGTTTGTTAGAGAAGGCTAAATCCTCTATCATCCATCCCATGACAAAGTCTGAGTGGTTGCAGTGATGTACCACCACAGATTGCATCTCCAGAATTTAATTGCCACAAACTTTTCACTTTCTGGAATAAACAGTGCAGCTGAAACATGAAAATATTTCTGCAGACGCTGCAGTGAGAGAACAACGCTGTGTTATCGATTCAGCTGAAATGCTTCTTGCAGAGCAAGCATCAAAGTAAGGCTGTTTTATCAGTTTACATATTTTAAACAGAGAGTTTATTTCTTGCGTAATCCTCCTTGAGGCATTCTGGTGGCTGAGCAGAACCATTGCCAGAAGCATCTGCTTCCTGATCTGCAAATGTAATTTCTGCTCCTCTCCTTCCATTTTTCTGGGCCGACTTCTGGAGTTTTTCCTGTGCTGTTGCTGAATCTGATATTGGTGTTTTTAATGAAGAAAACATGGGTTTGGATCTTTTTTAAGGGATTCCTGAATTTAGACAGAAACTGATAGTTTTGCTGCTCTGAGATCAGTCTCCTTGTGAAACTTTGCTGGAACAACCTTCTTCCTGTGCAGAGTAATCGTACCAGGGTGAAAACTACAGCATCCTGTTTGGCTTCAGTTCTGCTGCACTGCTATCCAGCTGTCTGTTCACTAGTCCCTATATGTATTGAGCTGCTTTGACAGAAGTGATCAGCTCAAGCATTTGGGACCTGCTGGTCTCCACAGTCAGACCTGACGGCAGGCAGAGAGCTTTAATGCAGGGCTCTTCCAGCATGACATCCTCGCAGATCTCTCCAAGGCCAGGTTGGATGGGGTTCCAGGCAGCCTGATCAGTGCCTGATATAGTGGTTGGCAACCCTGCCTGCACCAGGGGGATTGGAACTGGATGGTCTTTGAGGTCACTTCCAAACCAAGCCATTCTATGATTTTTCTCTCCTCCGGTTTCTGCCATGTTCTTGATTATTATCTTAGATGATTTATGCCAAGAATCAATTGTGGGGACCGTGAAAAGAAGTCTAGTAAGTAGGCTTTTTGCACAGATGCTAGGTCAGGATCTTCCTCCATCAGCTTCGTGGAAGATGTAACAACGATGAAGCTGATTTAAGGTGTAGGTAAGGTAGGCTCGTTGCTCTCAAGGGTTAAACATCTACCTCAAGTGGGAACTCTTCTGCAGTTCCTACCTGAGAAAATGGTTTGGAAATGAAAGCCCTTCTACTGTGTAAATGCTCACAGGTACTGTCCTAAATATTTGGATATTTCTGTCTTTGCACTAGGATATTTTGGAAATAATGATGCCCAAGCTGAGAAACAATGCAATGTCTGCAGCTAAGTTCACTTCTTACCCTGTGTTGAAGACCTCAGGGTCTGGTTGAGGTGGAACAGACCATTCTGGCTCTGCCAATGCCCTCAAGCAGGTGAGGAGCATTCCCAGTCCCCCTCCATTGAGGATTGTTCTTACCTCTTGTTCTTTTCATTTCTACTACCACCTAAATTGTCTTTTCTTTCATCCAACTAAAAGTCTCTAATATCTATTTGTGCTCTGTGTGGCAGTTCAGAGGAGAGAGAACTAGTGCAGCAATTTATTATTTTTTGCACACTTTGTTCCAAGCAAAGGAAGTAGCAAAATGGCTGATAATTAACTATCTCATTCATAGCTTACGACAGAAATGACTGCCTCTTGTCAAGGCATGGTCTTTGAGGAGAAGAGCTGAGGATTGAGAAATGCTATGAGTTGTCATTCTGACTCTTTCTTCTACCATTGCTGTTCCTTTGCCTTGAAGATCTATCTTCAGTTATTATCCAAGAAAGGAACTGGTAGGTTTTCTCAAGGCTCTCCTCACTGCTTGAGTATTTAACAACATATCCCTGGTGCAATTACTCTGTTGTGGGCCCTACTGACCAGATTGCAAAGGTTATTTTGAGCTGTTGTAAATGGTTGACATTTCATCTCCTGCCTTGTTACTGAGGTGTTGTGAGAAATACATACATTTTTTTTTAACTTCTCAAGATGCAGAAAGGTATGTTACACCATGAAAGAAAACAACCCAAGACTCAAACATGACTCTTGGAAATAAAGAGTCGGACTGTTTTTATGGGTATAACTTAAATCAAACTAAGTTATGGGAGAGTGAGACATACTGTCTCACTCATCTTGTGTTTTTGTTTTTGTTTTTTTTTTTTTTCTTTTGGTAATAAACACAAAGCCAAAGATTCATTTTCTCAAAGAGCTTTCTATTTTGTGTACGTAACAGACTTGTGGAAAAACAAATTATCTAGGCGTTGGGCTTTGTCTCTGTTTTTCCATCTTTGGTCCCCCTCTATCTCTGAAACACCAGGAGATATGCTATGACTTCAAAGAGGATGCATCACATATGTCTGGTTATAGTCATTCCTGGGACTCTAAATAATATTAAGTGACATGGGCTACTTGACAGAAGAGTACACTGTTGGTTTGCTCTCCTCTCTGCCTGGATTGTGGCTTCCTTCTGAGACTTAAAGTGAGGCTGGACGGAACACTATTTGTTTCCTATTGACATATGTCTGCTGGGAGAGGTGTCTTGGGTACATCCAGGACAAAGTAATTCAGGACACAGGTTTTGGTAGTTTCCTTGGCTTCTTGGTAGGGCCTGGGTTAAACTATGAGACAAATGCATCTCATTGTTACTTTCCCACACATCAGCTCCCCTCTGCTTTTCTGGCTCTGGTTTTAGATGCAATAGGAGCTGCTCTTCTTCAAGGTAGGGCAGCTATTCAGAATAACGTTCTTTCAGCTAGAATAAACAAGATCACGGTCTTCTAAACAGGCTGAGGTTCTTCCTATCTGAAAGATCAGGTGCAGTAGTTGTACGCATTACACCAGGTGACAAATGGCAGTGAAACTGTAATGGCTACTTTTATATGTGCCACGTTAACTTGGCAAACACAGTTGATATTACTCCACCCGGGGCTGTGCTTAGCAGGATATGACCTAGGAGTTCAATGTTCATACACAATAGTGTACTGGTATATTTGTTCTGATCTTTTTTCATTTAAGTGTGAACTTTAAAATGCTTTACTTCTAAAACTAAAAATATCTGTCTCTCTTTGTTGTTGATGTTGAGGAAGTTCCTATGTTTTAAATCTCAAATAAGTTTTGGCCCCGTTGAGAGGTCTGAAGCCAGGGTCTGATCTAGTCACCTTCTCTGCAAAGTATTGCAATAGCAGTAGATGCAGAGCAGCCAGCAACTGGGGAGTAGGAAATCTGCTGTCACTCTGACGGGTGCTGGGAAACTCTGGGTCCTCCTACAAGCTCCTACTGGGTCCCTTGAAGTTGGTTTACACTTCTAGACGTATCTAGCTGTGTTGCAAGAAGGAAATGGCTTTTTACCCTTAACAATTTGGGTAGATAAGGATCACTTGCCAGAGAACCTGCCTTTCTGAATAGTGATGTAAAGTCAGCAGGGCTGGTGACAAGGGCTTGCCTTTCCTAGGCAGGATTCATCCCAGGAGAGAGTGGTGCACAGTAGTCAACAGCTCTGGCAGTGCTGCAGCTGAATAAGCATGAGCCTGGGGTGCTTCCTAACCTGTGAGTACTATAGAGATTTTTTGCCACTTCTAGCAGTGACTTTTTGGGTGGAATCATTAGACAGATACAAATAATTTAATATTAAAATTACAGCAGTGTGTGTGCATGTTTTACTCATCTTGAGAAAATAATAACACCCTTTACTACTGCGCAGGGAGTTGGAGCACTCCTAACTGTGCCATGCGTGTATTCTTAAAAGAATTAAATTGCAGGACTGCACTGTTCTGCAGAGATGTGTCTGCCCAGAAGACGAATCAGGATGTAATGTTAAATATGTTGTAGATCTTACATATGCTATTTTTGTGCCTCTGTAGCAATGAGCCTGTTTAGCTATGGGTAGCTTTATGCATAAGTCTCAGCACTCGTGCCAAAAGATCCACACAACTTGCAGTTGCTGGTTTGTGCTGATATAAATTTAAACAGGATTTATCCATGCAAGAGGAAAACATGTGCATCTTTAATCAAGTTCCACATTTTTTCTCTTTTTTCTTATGCTGCTGTTCAGCTGTAGTGATTTCAGCAAAAACGTGTGACTTACCAACACCAGGCTTCAGCTTCTCTGTGTGTAATGACTTAAACAATGTGGGTTTGCAGGCAGCTTCAACAAAGCAGAGCTTGCCACTACTCACAGCAGAATTTCTGTCACCGGGAGAAGTTGTTATATTTACACAGGGAAAAACATTAGCTTAAAGGTTGGTGTTTTTGTTTGTTTGCAAGTCGAGGGTGGAAATTTTCAAAGCAGCGCAACGGACCAAATTAACTGTCTCCCATTACTGGAATGTGAATGTGAAGTTGCTGAAAGCAGCTGAAGTACTGAGAGAGTTGGGAAATCTGCAGTCCATTGGCTGCACTAACGCTGAGAAACATCTGCACCGCCGGTCCTCTCCGTCCTGCTGGCTGCTCTTAATAATTTAGAGCAGAGCTAACATTAGGAACCCTTGTTTTTTTGAGTGCATTGTTTTTTCTTTCTCTTAAATGAGCATTTTGCCAGTGATTTGTACAGACATGTTAATGGTTCAGAGTGAAGTTTAGAATGGAAGAGATCCTTCTGATGATTTTTCAGATGCTAGTGATGCTTTGTGGAGATTACAAAATAGTCTTGCTATTTCATCAGTCAGTCAGTGTAAAATGCTCCTTGTGATTACATCGAATGCAGATGAAAAGTTTTCTCAAGCAGTCCAAGATATTAACAAGTGCAATGTATTTGTGCATTAAACATAAAGTACTGAGAAGTGCAATGTAGTGCTAAAGTCAGCTGGCATGCTTGATGGCTACAGTGGAGATCAAGCTGGGGATAGGTCTGCACATAGGGACTTTGAGATATTTTTTCCCCAAGAAAAGATCAACCATGTAGAAAACTATCTTTTTGTTTCTGATTATAACAACTTGTATTATATACTTACAGACTTTGTGCACTGGAAACTGAAATCGTTTGTCATAGACTGAAACACATGCAATGAATAACAAATGCATGCATCTCAAAGTAACATGATGTTCTGTAATTTATGAAATGTTTCTAATAAATCCCGTAGGCTGCATATCATCCATTAGAGGGCAGGATCCTCAGAGTTTTTAATCCAGAATTGGGCACTTATTTTCTTTTTGCCATTTTCCATTGAGTTATTTTCTCTGTTTCACTTTCTTCCCTGACCATAGTGCTGTAAGGCCACTCAGGGATAGTATGTGCACTTAATCAGGGAAGAAAGGTTTCATAGAAGATGGGTGCTAGGTGAAGCTGTTTGTACGCTGTATATCAGAGCCTGGTGATGCCAACAATGCAATGCTTTGAGTGTATCTCCTAAATCACTTACTGGTTTGGAAGTGTGCTAAATCTGTTAGGAGAATGTTAGAAGCCATTGCATCCCTCAGATTACATCGTCAGTCAAGCAGTGGTCTGTGTTATGAAGACAAAAGTGGCAGAGATGTTGTGTAACTGCTTTTGGTAACTGAAAGCTGGAGGCAGAGTTACTGGCTGGGATGTCCCCGTGAGGTGTCAATGAGAAAAAACATGGCATGTTTCATACAGAAGCTATGGTGTGAAATAACCATGGAAACGGTATCATCTGAGCCTGCCAGGTGGTGAGAACAGGCTTTCTTCCCCCTATCTTCCATTATCACAGCTCTTGTGCAGTGGGAAGAAAGCAAGGATTGGGCAGCTGGATGACAGCTGGGTGTGAAGGAGCTCAGTTCTGCCAAGAAAGGAAAGGCCTCCTTGGTGAGGCCATTGCTTTTGCACCAGGAATATGATTTGGGGCAATGCCCAGAGGATCATGACTGCTTTTCCAGCAGTAGAGTGAGGGTGTGAGATTGCACAGCTCAGGGATGCTTAGTATCCTCTCTGTGCTTGCCAACCATGCAGGCTGGTTTATCTGAAACTTATAGGAATGAGTGCTGAAAGAGGCAAAACTCATCTGAATATCCTGGCTGTTACTAGATGAGCAGGAAGGATTCCGTTGCTCATTTGTGCAGTCCTCCTAACAGAGTGCATAATCAGGAAATCTGAGGATCTCCTAACCCATCCACTGACAAAGAGCTCCCAACCCCCTCATTAAAGTGATGGAATGAGAGCTGCAATCAATTACAGAAGCGCTAAAGGCGATGAAAATTAGTTCCTCTGGGAATTTGCCTACAAATTTTCTTTTGCCTGCAAAAATCAGATTACGACATAAAATCCCTGAGGAGAGAGGGGAATGAATCGAAGACCAAGGCATTCATTGTATGGAAAAGAAACAAAAATGAAATAATGAAGGCACAGCTCTCCTCATACACATGACATCTAACCAGATATATAGGAGATGGGAAGGACGTGTATAGGACTGAAGATGTGCCAGCTGAGATGCCAGGTTCACTGAAGAATAGGAAGGCACGTTAGAGGGTGGACAACAGAAGTGCAAGGAAATGTCTACAAGATGAAATGTAACTTAAGGAGGAAGATAAAATAGATTAGATTGCTTAAAGAACCAGTCAAGACTTAGTCAAATCAGCAAGAGCGGACACTGGTGAGGTGGATCAAGATGTCCACTGCCATATGGAAAAGAATTTCTACTCACATGGATTTTTCTAAGTGAAATGTAGTTTCTCATTTTCCATGTTATGGTGGATAAATGTTTTTGTATTTGAGTATGGGAAAAGAAATGGTACTGACTGCAAGCTCTATTCCATCTTCTTACTCCTCAGTAGACACGTGATTTTCTCCAGTGTTCAGCAAATAATGACTTTGGAAGGATTTCTCCTAACCTCTATAAAATTATAGGGCCTCTTTCTGTAACTTATCAGCGCTAGTCTTGTGCAAGGCAGCACATGCAGGGTTAAGCCAATGAGTCTAGCTTGAATAAAAATGTTCTGCTACGTTTGTTCCTCTAGATATCTGTAAGATACTAATTTCAAAGCGTTTAAAAAGGGCAAGTGGGATGTGTGGAAAAAGGTTTGTGGAGACAGAAGGAAGAAAAGCACTTAGGAAGATAGAAAAGCTGTTAAAGATCTCAATTTCTCTGCTTGAAGTCAAAGTTTGAAGAGATAATTGATCTTAAATTATTTCAAATTAGATTTAATTTCTGATTAATCTATTATTTGATATCAGTGCCCATCAAAAACAATTATATTAATTCTTTTGAGTGATGCTACAAAATAGTCTTTTCCATTTGATTTGAAGGAGTTAAATGGTACGTTCGCAGTGGAAGACACTATATTAAAGTGCTGACAGATGTCCAGGTCCACTTTCCTCCATAATTAAAGCACTACTTGAATAAAACCTGAAAGGTTGTTGCCAGATCTCTTCTTTCAACCTTTTTTCATTACATTTGAGATACAAGTTTTGTAGAAAGCTTGGCAGAAACTTGAGAACCGCAGTTAAATCCAGACTGTATTTGACAAATATAAAGGAGTATGGCTGACAATTACGACCAAGTGCAAGTTGAGTTTTATGACTTTATGTAATGGAGGCTTTAGCCATCCTTTGTGGTGTTTTTTGGCAGTTGGCTTCTTTCCTCCTTTCGTTTTCAGAATCGTGATGTTTGTAACAATTTTATAAAACTCAAATATTATTTCTGTTGGAATGTTGTACCCAAAGTTTTCAGCTAATATATTTTGTTTTTCATTTACCTGCTGTCTCAAAAGTGAAAAACTTCTGCCGTGTTTACATCAAAACTTCAGTCTTGAGGTAAAATCTGAGTCACTTTTTAGTGGATGCTCATTCTAACAATTCAGCTAATCTGATACGCTTTGTGCATGACCGAATTTCACAGGCTCCTGCAGAAACATCCATCTTCTCTACAGTGATCAGAATCTATTGCACTTCGCTGTATGACCTTGTAGCAAGATTTTTATCAGCCAGAACTATGTTGTTTTATGCCTATTATGTTATATGAAATCCCTGAGTGAATCTTACTGACCCTTGCCTCTCGTTCCAGCTCTGTTAGGAATAGGACTTGATCTTATTTGGAGTTTGGGTCTGTTAGAATGTACACCTCTCACTGTAATTTCAAGTACTCCTAGCACTGGAAGAAGTAGGTTTGGGAAAGTATTTCTAAGAAGAATAGCATGTTGTGCATTAGCTACTCCACATTACATTTTTGCATAAAGTGAAAGGTCTACTTCTTTTAGCTGATGTGCATAGGTGCCTAATGCTCCCTCTCATTCCCTGTGGAGCATAGTTGATATGATGTCCCTGAAAAGCAAGGTAATAATCACAGACGTCTGATAGAAAATTCATACCATGTGCTGAACAGAAAAGCAACTGAATGGTTTTGTTAGTGCTGAAAACACTAAGGATGTGGAACAGGCATTGTACTGTGGCATGGTAGGAAAAGCAGCAGAGAAGCCATCTAGGTTTTTACACCAGTCTGAAAAAAAAACAAGGACAGGGCATTTGTGAGTACACAACTCTGAAATCTTCACAGCTGAGACATAGTGACTGTCCTTGCCTTGATATTAAGTGATATTAAGTGAATGCAGGATATCTACAGTATGTGTTTACCTCTGTGTAACCTATGATTAGACTG